GGCTTGCCGGCGGCTGGCCGGCTGTACTCCTTCACGGCGCGCTGCGGGTCGGCCCGGGGCCGGTCCCCAAGGCACCCCGGCGCCACCTCAAAGCGGTGCAAGCGGCGCTCCTTTTCGCGCTGGGCGCGCTCAGCGGCCGGGCACATGTCCGGGCACGTGGCCACGGGAAGCTCGCAGCCAGGCATGGGTGGGCTGAGGGGAAAGGGCCGGCGCTCAGCATCCCGGGAACGGCAGCGGCCACTCGCCCCATTCTGCGGGAGGGCACGCCAGGACGGCAGAGAAGCAGGGCCTAGGGCGCCCAGCTAGGCCCGCCTCCCGCCCGCGTCCCCGCCCACTGGCGTCCTCTTACCGGGTCCGCAGTTTGCCCACAGCTTCGGGTCGGCCTCCCAAGATGCACTGCGTTGTAGTCCAGCGCCGTCACCACTATTCCGCGCGCTCTTGCCCCGCTAACGCCCCCCATGATGCATAGCGCGCAACCTCGCGATTCTCCTTTAGTGTTTTTAACTACTCGGTAAGCGGAGCCACTCCCATGATGCACTGGTTTGTAGTTTCTTCCGCAACCAATCGCATTGTAGATGGGGCGGGGCGCAGGCGGGGCAGGGGTAGGGCCACACCCTCTCAGCCCTCCTTGGTTCCAGCCCCTTGAATCATCTGGGTTTGGTCTTGGACCTCCTGAAGTGGGTGCTCCTACTTTGGGTTCCTCTTCACCTTTTTTCCCTCCGAAATAATCTGGCGCTATCAGTCTAACTAGGTCCCTGGGTGGTGCAAATGGTTTGCACTTGACTTCAAGATTGGCGGTTTGAACCCACCCTGTGGTGCCACTGAAAAAAGGCCTGGCTATCTGCTACTGTGAAGATTACAGCCAAGAAAGCTCTATGAAGCGGTTCTACTGTGTAACATATGGGGTCGCCATGAGTCGGAACGGACTCCATGGCAATGGGTATGGTTTTAGGCTTAGCGGGTTCACTGCCATTTCCTACTCTTCCCTGGGACTATTCTCCCCATTTTCTAGATCAGGGGTCAGCAAACTTTTTCTTTAAAAGGCCAAATAGTAAATATTTTAGGCTTGCGAGTTCTACAGTCTCTGTCACAACTACTCAACTCTGCTGGTGTGCCAGGAAAGCAGCAATTGACACTACTGCTGAACAAATGGGCTATAAACACTTAAATTCATGTAATTTTCACCTGTCATTAAATATTATTCTTTAGAGTTTTTTCAACCATTAAAAAATGTAAAACAGCATTCTTTGCTCATGGGCCGTACCAAAAAAAAAAAAAGGTGATGGCCGGATTTGGCCTCAGGCGACGGTTTGCAGACCCCAGTTCTAGATGGGTAAACTCGTAGTTTAGCGACCAGGGCTGCTCTTCACACAAGACAGAGACGGGTGGGATCAGAAGTGTGAACCCCTGGTTCCAAGGCAGCAGATAGTCAGGGAGCTGAGAATTAATTTTCTCATTCTTGGTCTGGTTACATACAGAAATGGCCCCTGGGGTTACAAGACCAGGGGCTAGGGCCTGGCCCCAAGGAGAGGAGGAGAAGGTGGCTGGCAGTGCTGGAGCTAGAGTCCTGGGAAGGGTCTACTCCCTCTCAGGGCGGGAGCTGGGACAGGTGGAGGCGCAAGATCTCCTCTGCCCGCTTCAGGTACTCAGCTGCCTTTTTCTTCACACCTTCCTGGCGGGCAGGGGACGGGTCACCTGTAGAGAGAGAGTGGCTTAGCCCAGGTACCTGGGCCCAGTTCCCTTTAGAACCCCTGGTCTGGCCCCTTACAGTTCACAGAACATCATCCTGTGCCTCTCCTCTTTCCCTGGGAGTTTGTGTCTATTCTCCCCATTTCACACATGAGAAAAGTGAGGCCACAAAAGGAAAGAAACTGCCCAAGGTCACCCAGCCGCTCAGTGAGGAGCAGACTCCTGATCCTTCAGCTCCTTCCTCACTACACCACCCTGGCCTCCAGGCTGACCCCCGCCCCCAGCACCCACTCACCGGGGACCCCCTGGAGCAGGATGTGCACGCCATCTCGGTAGCCCTGCAGTGCGGCAGGGTAGGCACCTGCCTTCTCGTCCTGCAGGGCCTGGGTGATGACTGCCGTGGCCTGGCTCAGATAGGCAGGGGTGGGCCCTCCTTCCCCGTCCTCTCCCTCCTCCTGCCCTCCTGGCTCCCAGGGCTCCTGGTCCAGCCTCCTGGGCTCTGCCTCCACTGCTGCCAGCTTGCCTGTGTGGGTGGGGCTGGGGCCTGCATCTTCTGTAATCAGATATGAAGGAATCAGGCCAGACTGGCCCTCCCTCTCCCCAGGGCCTGCTGCCCACCCCTAGACCCCTTTTGCCCAGCAGGGCAACAACCCAGGGTCAGCCACCCCAGTAGAGGGGGCAATGCCTAGGGAATCCATAAGCCACTTGTATATAGCAAACTCTTGTCGTTAGCTGCCGTGGAGCCGGCCCCCGACTCACGGTGACCCCTGTGTTACAGAGTAGAACTACTCCATAGGGTTTTCTTGGCTGTAATTTTTACTGGAGCAACAGATTGCCAGGGCTTTTCTTCTGCAGAGCCACTGGGGGGGTTCAAACTGCCAACCTTTCGGTTAGTAGCCAATCGAGAACCACCCGCCCCACCCAGGCTCCTTGTATAGCAAACTAGCCATGACCTACTTGATTGATGGGGTTCATGTTTTTTGTAAAAATAGCTTTACCTCCCTAATTCTTTCTTTGTGTACACATTAACATTATCTTGCATGCTCTCCATCACTGGTCCTATTTCCCTTCTGACCCCTTTTGATCTACAAATCCAACAATTTCCTCCACAAAGTTTAAATGTGGGTGCTGGACTAACTATGCCAGGCCAAGGGTAGAAGTGCTCCCAGCCTTGAAATCTTAGAAAAATGGATTCAGAGAATCTCAGGGCTTTTTTTGAGATCTTTGAATTTCAGCTGAGGCCCCCAATGTGAAGACAGTGGGTGATAGGTGCCAGGAAGGAGTGTGGACACACATCCCCCCAACTCCGGAGGGTCACCCCCTCCCCCATTCCAGCCCTGGCTCCCTCCCCCCACTCCTGATGCACCTGGCCCCTCCAACCCTCCAAGGTCCCTCCTCTCACTGGGGAGGCACCTGGGGAAGGGGCACCTGGTTTTAGTTCTCATGGAGGCTGCCATTTGCCAGCAGGACCACAAGACTGAGAAGGGCACCTTTCTCTGATTTCCACAGATGCCTCTAGGCTTGGCCTTCCTCCCAGGCTATCCCTAAGGGCCTCCTGCCCCAGCCTGCCCACTGCTGTTCCAGCTTGTTACCTTCCTTGGAGAAGGGGTCAAAGAGAGCCAGCTCAGCCTCAGTCAGCGGGCCGTGGGCAGGGGACCCAGTGGCCTCCTCGGTGCTCCCACAGGTAAAGAGGAGGTCCAGGGCCTCCTGGGCAGGGCTGGATGGTGGGGGGTCGGCTGCGGAATAGATCAATGAGGATATTAACACATGAACTTACTGTTTTGCCAGCTTTTGACATGGAATTACACTTTCATTAATTCCTTGCAGCAACCATGGGGTTTGTGCCGATTTTACAGATTAAGAAAATGTAGCCCAGTGAAGGAAATGACCCAACCAAAGTTCCTCAACAGGTCAGTGGTGAAGCTGGGACACACTCCTGGATTTTAACCAAGATCACTGACAGGAGGGAGTGTGGACCCTCCAGCCCTGGCTCCCTCCCCCCATCCCCTGATGCACCTGGCACCTCCAACTCCTCGAGGCCCCTCCTCTCAGAAGGGAGCCGCTGGAGCAGCCAGGGCTCCTCAGGGGGCAGCCTGGGCTCATCAGGAGGCAGCGTGGGGATCAGGGGGGGTGGCAGGATGTGCAGGTCCTTGGACACCTCGGAGAGCTGTGTCACCTCCCCGCCCTGCAGGGGAGACAGACCAGTGATGGGGGAGTCACAGGTGCAGCCTGGTGGGCAGGCAGCGTCCCAGGTCCCGGGAGATGGAGAGCGGGCGCACGTACCTGGAAGAACTCCTTGAGCTGGGGGCTGTTGTTGAGCGCCGGGATGTGTACGGTGAAACGGAGCAGGTCCTCTGCCCCCTTTCGCCGTTCCTCGATCACAGAGGCTTCAAACCGGCCTGCAACCCCGACAAGGGAGGGGAGGGAGGGGTGGTGACCCTCAGGGGATTCCTGGCTCAGCCTGAGGATCTGAGCAACCTGCTGCCCCCTCCCTACTCTCCCACCAATCTCCATGGTTCCTCCTTCTCCTTCCTCCCTGCATCTATCTCTGCACCAGGCCCTGCGGACTCTACTCAGTGAGTTCTCACCCATCCATCCACTTGGCTCCTCCCTCATGCCACAACAGGGGTCCAAGACCTCAACATTCACCTCTGCCTGGACCCCCAGCACAGCCTCCTCACTGGCCTCTAAGCCTCCAACCTGGCCCTCTCCAGTTACCCTTGATGTGGAAGCCTGGCTGTGATGGTTAAGGCTGTGTGTCAGCTTGGCTAGGCCATGGTTCTCAGTGGTTTGGCAGTTACATGATGATGTAATTTGGTGGTGGTGGTGGTTGTTAAGTGCTGAGTGGGTTCCGACTCAGAGCAACCCTGTGCACCACAGAATGAAACCCTGCCCAGTCCTGCGCCATGCTCACAATCGTTGTTATGCTTGAGCCCATTGTTGCAACCACTGTGTCAATCCATCTCACTGAGGGTCTTCCTCTTTTCCGCTGACCCTGTACTCTACCAAGCATCATGTCCTTCTCCAGGAAGTGATCCCTCCTGACAACATGTCCAAGGTATGTAAGACGTAGTCTCGCCACCCTTGCTTCTAAGGAGCACTCTGGTTGTACTTCTTCCAAGACATGTAATTTGGTAGTTGTATAATAATGCAGTCATCCTCCATTTTGTGATTGATGTGAGCAGCCAATCAGTTGAAAAGGGAGTTTCCTTGGGGATATGACCTGCATCCAATATATACAGATGTTCTGGAAAAGCTCTCTTGCTCTGGATCCTATAGTTGGCTCGTAATCATCTGACCTCCAGTTCCTGGGACTTGAGACTGTCATCTGACCTGCCGATTCTGGGATCTGTCAGCTTCTGTAGTCCATGAACCAGCAGCCTGTTGTCTGCCTGACCTGCCAATCTTCGGTTCATCAACCCCTATAACCACGATGAGTCAGGAAAAAGCCTTCCCAAAGAGTCAGCAGCCTGATGCCTGATCCACTTGGGACTTGGGGCTTGCCAGTCTCTATAACCGCATGGGCCATTTCCTTGAGATAAGTCTCTCTCTATATATGTATTTACATATATTTGCATCACTGGAGCCCTGGTAGCACAGTGGTTAAGAGCTGGGTTGTTAACCGAAAGGTTGGCAGTTTGAATCCACTAGCTGCTCCTTGGAAACCGTATGGAGCACTAGAGGGTTACTATGAGTCAGAACCGACTTGATAGCAATGGGTTTGGTTTGGTTTTATATGCATCACTGGTTTTGCCTCTCTAGAGAACCAGCTAAGACATTTGGTACTGGGAATGGAGTGCTGCTCTAACAGATACCTAAAATGTAGAAGTGGTTTTGGAATTGGGCAATGGGTAGAGGCTGGAAGAGTTTTAAGGTACCTAATAGTAAAAGCCTAAATTGCCTTGAAGAGATTGTTGATGGAATTATGGATGTCAAAGGCAATTCTGGTGAGGACTCAGAAGGAAGTGAGGAGAGCTACAGAGAAAGTCTCTACAGTCTTAGAGAATACATACGGCACCAGCAACAGAATGTTGCTAGAAACGTGGATGTTAAATGTGCTTCTGGTGAGGCTTTAAGAGAAAATGATGAGCATGGGATTGGACAATGGAGGAAGGGCAATGCTTTTTATGGTGTGGCAAAGAACTTGTCTTAAATTATGTTTGGTGGAAGGTAGAACTTGTAAGTGATGAACTTGAATATGTGGCTGATAAGATTTCTAAGCTAGATCTTAAAGGGGCGGCGTGGTTTCTCTTTGCCGCTTACAGTAAAAAGCAAGAGGAAAGAGATGGGGGAAGTGATGCCAAGCCACATGAATATCGCCCAGGAGCAGAAACCAAAAGAGACAAGGACCTTCCTCCAGAGCCGACAGAGACAGAAAGCCTTCCCAAAGAGTCAGCACCCTGAATTTGAACTTCTAGCCTCCTAAACTGTAAGAAAATAAATTTGTTTGTTACCGTCATCCACTTGTGGTATTTCTGTTATAGCAGCACTAGAAAACTAAGATGCTAGCGATCCTTTTAAAATGTAAATCTGAGCTTGCTGGCATGCCCTGAAACCCATCCAGAACCTGTCCTGGTTCCAAAGATGAAAGCAGCCCCTGACCACAGTCACCCATGGCTGATGTTACCCTGTCTGTTTCCTTTACCAGATCTTTACTGAGCACCTACTATGTACTTTGCTGTGGCCTAGGTTCTGGGGGTGAATGAGAGAGAAGGAAGGTCCCTGCTCCCATGGAGATCACCTTCCAGACAGGGAGGGGGAGGCAGGCAACCCACAAGAAACAAAATAATTTCAGATGGCTTTGATGTAATGGGGAGGGAAGGAAGGCTCAGAGATGGGGAGTAACTTGCCCAAAGCCACACAGCAAGTAGCCCCCATCCCTTTGTTTTGTTTTTTTACAGTTTCACTGCTCTGTTCTAGCACAGTTATCTAACTCTGGCCAAGTTAGAATACCTGTGATGAGTCTGGAGCCCCAAGACAGACCAGCACCCAGCGCTGTCCAACAGAAATACAGCAAAACCTGCAAAAGCTAGAACCTGCATAAGGTGGAAACTTTTCCAGAAAAGGCAATTCAAATATTTTCCATTAATAGAGAGTGACAGAAAAGTGGTAAGACTACACCCTGACAAAGGTGGAAAACTTGCGGGGCCCAGAAAAACAAGGCAGTCCCATTGAGTTCCAGCTCTCACAGGTTTCACTCTCATACGGTGAGACGATGTCTCGCAAGTTTTCTGCCTTTGACAGGGTGCGGTCTTACCACTTTTCTATAGCTGTTAGTAGAAAATACTTGAGCTTTCCTCCTCTGACAGGTTTCCACCTTACACAGGTGCCAGCTCCCACAGGTTTTACCGTATATTTTATTTAACCCAATATATCCAAAGTAATATCATTTCTACATGTAACTGATATAAAATTCCTAATGAGATATTTTAATTTTTTTCCAGTGTGAAGACTATACTTAGAGTAAATCTCAATTCAGACTAGCCACATCGCAGCCACACGTGGCTCGTGGCTACCGTTCCGGACAGCACAGGTAGGAATCACGAGCTTGTGGGTAATAATCCTGGTTTTGCCACTTACAGGCTCAGTTCCTTCACCTCGCTGAGGCTCAGTTACCTCATTTGAAAATGGGGCTAATGAGGGCGAGAATGTTAAAGTGCCTGAGATGCAGTAAGGGCTCTGCAGCTCCAAGCTTTGGTTTCCCCATCTGTAAAATGGGGCCATCTCCAAGGTTCCATTCATTCACTAGATGTCTATTGCTCTCTGAAATGTGTCTCTGCCCCCCTCTAACCAGCCCCCACCAGTAGAGGTCCCCTTTGCCCAACCATCCCTCCCTCTTTGGCCTGAGCGTCCAGGCCCAACACTTACCAAACACCTGGGCACGGGGAAAAGAGGGGAACTCCTCAAGGCGGCGGAAGAGGTTCCGGTGGGTGTAGGCCAGGTCTCCGTGTAGCTTGCGGAAATCGCTGTACCGCTTCCAGACCACCACCTGAGTGGGATGGGAGGCGTGGCCTGGACCAGCAGGGTAGGAACCGCCTCCCGGCCCCCACTGCCCCTAGCCTGATCCCAGGGTCTGAGGACTAGGGCACAGCACCCCTTCCTTCCGGGGCAGGGAGGAAGGAGGGCTGGGTCTCCTCCAGAATTTCCAGCTGCTACTTGACTGGTTCAGAGCTGGACTTAGGGAAGGGCCCCCTTCTCCCAGGAGCCTCACCTCTTTGACATCTTCCGGGTCCTTCTTTGAGATGAACTGGGGAAGAGAGGCAAGAACCAGGTGAGACCAGAGACTGACCTCGGACACCCAAGCACCCTGTGAAAGTCGAGGGTGCCTGGCACCTCCCAGCCCCCCTCTAAGGGGCGGTGCCCTTCGGCCATTGGTATCACAGCGTCCTGGCTTCAATGCTTTGAGTGTAACTTTGAGCAACGTTTCCATCATGCACCTCAGTTTCCTCATTTGTCAAATGGCATGGGGGGGTGGTGTCTCTAGAGGCCTGTCCAGACTGCACCATCCACAGTCAGTTCCTGGGAACTTTTGTCCCAGTTCCTTCAAAGGGCCAAGTCCCTGGGTCTCCCTCTGAAACCAAAGAATCCCAAGTTCTCTAAAGAACAAAGCTCTGTCCCAGGAGCCACTACTTCCTTAAAGGAGGAAGCCTCTGTGTGTGAACACTGTGGATACAGAAGAAACCATCACTGGGGTTGCTGTGCCCTGGAGGGGCAGACTTGGGTCTGGGGGGGAAAGAAGAGTCGCTTTTCATTATGCTATGTTCATAATAATTGAAAAATGATGTCATACAGTTTTGAGCACTTGGCAGTTTCCAAACCATCTTCTGTTCATTATCCTACATCCCAGTGAGGCAGACATGATTGTCATGCTCTGACAAAAGAGGAGGAGATGGAGGTTCAGAGAGGGCACGTGAACTGCACAAGATCACACACCAAGTAACAGGATTAATCCTACTCGCTAGGGTAAAAACCCTGGCCTTTGCTTTTTCACAACAGAGACTTGTCTAAAATATTTTGGGTAAAAGAAACAATATTTAAAGACCACTGAGGAATCTATACTCGACAAAGAGCTCATCCATAATATATGAAGAACTCCTACAAATCAATATTAAAAAGATAAACAACCCAACTTTTAAAAATGTGCAAAATACATGAACAGGCACCTCCCACAAAAGAAGATGTTTGAATGGTCAATAGGATTATAAAAATATGTTCAACGCCATTAGTCATCGAGAAATGCAAATTAATATCCCAATAATGGCTAAAATTAAAGATATTGACAATATCAAGTGTTGGTGAGAATGAGGGCATAAAAAGGCACAATTACTTCGGAAAACTGTTTGTTAATTGCTAATAAAGCTACACCTATGCCTGTCCTATGACCCAGCAATTCCACTCCTAGGTACATACCAAGGAGAAATGCATGTATGTCCACAAAAAGACTTGGACATGAATGTTCATACAACTTTATTCATAAGAACTAAAAACATTTTAGAAGCAACCCAAATGTCTAACAACAGAAGAATGAATTAAGAAATGGTAGAATATTTACACAATGGAATATTGTGCAGCAATAATAAAGAACAAACTATTTATACCTGCAACAACATGGACACATTCCAAAAACATTGGGTTGAGTGAAAAAAATCAGACACAAGACAGTATTTTCTGTACGATTCCATTCATATGAGGTTCAAAAACAAAACAAAACCCGTTGCCGTTGAGTCGATTCCAACTCATAGCGACCCTATAGAACAGAGTAGAACTGCCCCATAGGGTTTCCAAGGAGCAGCTAGTGGATTCGAACTGCCAGCCTTCTGGTTAGCAGCCAAATGCTTAACCACTGCACCACAAGGGCCCCATATGAGGTTCAAGAACATGCAAAACTAATCTACGGTAACAGAAGTCAGAATGATGGGTACTTCTGTGGGAGCAGGGCTACTGACTGCAAAGGGGCAAAGGTACTTCTGTGGGAGTGGGGCTACTGACTGCAAAGGGGCAAAGGAACTTTCCAGGGTGATATCTTGATCTGAGTGGTGTTTGCACACATGTATACGTATGTAAAAATTTATTGAGCTGTACATTTAAGATTTGTGCATATTACTTTCTATAAATTGTCTTAATTTAAAAAATTTTTAAAGCCAAATAACAACAACAAAAATACAAAACCAAAAACCACTGAGAAATATTCTCAAGTGAAAAAAGCAAGTTGCAGAACACTACTGAGTGCAAAATAACAATAAAAAGTGGATTCATATATTTGCTTGTAAATGTAGAGTTTATCTGCAAGGCTAAATAAGAAGCTAGTAGCAATGGTTCCTACCATGAGGAGGAACAGGGATGAGAAGGGGGAGTAAATTATTTATCTTTAAAAATTATAAAAATACATAAAACTAATGCACGTTATTTGGTTTTAAAAAAGATCCAACACAAATGCGTACAGGGAAAGGTTATAGTGCCCTGCTACTCCTTCCCACTCAATCTTTTTAAGCATGGGAAAAACATAATAAACGATTTGGGGAAAGCACCATTTTAAATACGTAGGACTCTGCACTTGAATTGCTTTGGAAGTGTCTTTATGTTTTTGCTCCGCTTTAATAGTTAGCCGTGGACCAGTTTAATAGTGCCCTGGTTCAAAACGCTAAAAGGTATAAAAAATATACAACGCAAAGTATTTCCCCAACCCCTACCCACAGGGTGCCTCCCTGGAGGCTCGGTTCCCAGTTGTTACCAGTTTCTTGTATAACATTCTAGAGATTTTGCGATACTGTTTCTATTTTAAATTCTTTTCATGATTTCTTCCAGGCGTCTATGTAATGCCTTATCATGTTATTATTGCTTCAGATATCAACTTTAGTCTTTACCTAGTGACTTCCTGCTATGACTGCTGAAGGCTGTTAAGTCTTTTTGAACTGTATAGTTTTTTAAACCACTGACAAGTTAATTCTTTTATAAAAAATAAAAATAAGTAAACTGTTGAAAGAATTTTTATGCACATAACAAACCAATAAACAAAACCCACACCAAGTGATTGGAGAAGTATCTAGTCTTTGGGCTAAGCCAGAGTTTTCACGCTAATTTCAAGAAATTTACAGCTTTATACCCAGATACCACACGGGCGTGGGCACCCACACCTCGCGGATCCTGAACTGCCATTCACGCCCTTTTAAGAGTGGCAGTATCCTCCAATGGCCCCGCCCCCTCAAGCTTGAAGGCGTAAAGAAAGGTCCTTCCGCAGACTCCCCTTAAAGGGGAAATTCATTTCTGTGGTTCAAAATGGGCGGTTCCTTCAGCGTCTCGCCTTAAGATGCAACACGGCCCACCTTTTGTTAAAAGGGTAAAGGACCCTTCTGGGCCCCACCTTACCTGCGCGGTTACTTTATACTCGGTGTAGCCCTTGGGGTGGGTCCGTGGGTCGGAGACCGTGTAGTGCCGCACGAAGTCGTCCTTCGCCTGGCGGGACATGGCAGCCAAACCAGAGCGGAGCCCACTGCCAGCCTCCGCCTCTTCCACGCCACCCACCCCTCTCCGGACCTGCCTCCGCCTGCCGCTGCCTGGCCTGGGCCTGCGCCCTTCATCCTCAGGCCCAGGGAGCTGGTTGCAAGTGACAGCGCCGCTCTCGCCCGGGCGCGCGGCCAAGGGAGCGTCTCAAAAGTTCCCAGTCGTTGGTAAAGCAGAAACCTAGTAATTTGAGAGCAGGGATTGGGGAGGTTCTGATCACTCATCTCTGCCTGGTGATAGACCATCCTATCGGAGCGTCGGCCCTCATCATCGACTTCCAAGCGACGTATGCCCTGCTTTCCAATACTCTTCCTTCCTCCGTCGGTTCAAGTAACCTGTATTGCGTCCAACAGTGTTCACCACGAAACCAAACCGTTGCCATCGAGTCGATCCCAACCCATAGGGACCCTATAGGACAGAGTAGAACTGCCCCATAGGGTTTTGAAGGAGCGGCTGCTGGATTCGAACTGCCGACCTTTTGGTTAGCAGCCAGACTCTTAACCACTGCACCACCAGGGCTCCCCAATGATGTTAGACATAGTCAAATTATTTCCCTGTCTCTCTCCACCAAATCAACCAAATAAACAAACAAAAAAACCCAACCAGTTGACTTCCAGTGGATTCGCTCATGGTGACCCCGTGTGTGTCAGAGTAGAACTGTGCTTCACAGTGTTTTCAATGACTGATTTTTTTGGTAGATTGCCAGGCCTTTCTTCCAAGGTGCCTCTGGGTGGACTTAAACCTCCAACCTTGGGTTAGTAGCAGAGCCGTAACCGTTTGCACCACCCACAGGAGTCCTCCAGAAAAAAAAAAACAAAAAACCAAACCCATTGCCATCGACAGGATTTGCAAAAAGGACCCTGGAGAAGCAGGATGGTGTCCTGGGCTCTGAAGTCACACCTCTTACTAGCTCTGTGAATTTCTCTTACCAACTCAATTTCTTTAATAGAATGAGGATGCTCATGATAGAACCTACTGTCATGGGCATGGCCTTTTTCCCTTTGTTGGCCTGCCCAGCATTCTCCCACCTCTTTCTGTGAGCACAGCAGCTCCCAGTTTCTGTTTGCAGGGGCCTCTCTAGTATGTGTAGCTCTCCAGCCTTCTCCCAGAACCCAACCCAGTGAGGCCTGCTCCTCCTTCCTTGCCCCAGAGGCCCCGGAGTGGGCGTGGGGGGCACTCTCTCCAGAGGCCTTGAATCTCATGTGAGGGGCAGAGGGCACAGTGCTGTGGCAAGGGCACCAACTTGTTCCTGGAGAACAGTTTTGGCCACGGGTCCAGCTGCTCCACCTCTGGAGCAGTGTTTCCTGAGCCTGGCCATTTGACCTCCATTGGGAAGCTGTGAATGCCTAATATCCTTCCAAGAGATGTCCTTCCTGCCGATGGCAGCTGGAATCTGTGTGTATGGCTGGCCATCGAGGGCCCTGACTGATAGCACCACCCACCCACTGGTTGTGAGGCTTAAATGCGAGAGGGTGGGGGAAGCGCTCAAGAACAGCTGCTCTTCTTACCGGAACTCAGGTGTGTGAGCCTCTTGAAGGCTGGTCTCTGGAAGGAAACACGAAGCAAACTACAGAATCAGATTCTTGGAGCCCTGACATGGTGGCCACCCAGGAGGTATTCAGGAGGAGGCTGTGACTCAGCTGCGTCTCGAATACAACACTCACCAGGACTCCTCGGAAGGGCCCCTTAGCCATGGTTCCTGCTCTCCAAAGTTCTTGGGAGGAGCAGGGGCTCCAGTCTCCGCCTCCCGTCTCTCCTTCCCACTCTGCTCCTTGGCCCAGCGTCTCCCACATCCTCCCCTTTCCTTCTTGTTTCTCCCCGTCTTCTCCAGGCCCTCTCCCCTCTAGATCCATGTGGCCCTTGGCCTTTTCCAAGTCTCCCCTCCAGTTCCATCGCCACAAGGAGCAATGGGAGCAATAGAAGATCCTCCTTAGAAGGCAGGGGAGGGGAAAAAGCCCACACAGTGCACGGGCCTGTTTCCAAGCTCCCACTGGGTGTGCTGCAGTGCCTACTCCGGTGATGAGTATGCCTTTGACAGTTGACACTCTTCGGTGATGAGTGTATACTTGTTACTTTCTTATTTGTCTCTAACCATGCATAAGTCACTTTTTAAATCAAGGGTGTCGCTGACTAAAGGTCCCTAAGGAGGGCTGAATGCTGGGGTGACTCACTGTATCAGTGGATGGCTGAGTTCCCATTGGTTGAATGTGTCATGGATTGTGTTCCCCAAAAATGTGTTGAATTCCTGGCCCTTGTACCTGTGGATGTGATCCTGTTTGGAAATAGGGCTTTAGTTGGGTTGTCAACGAAGAATGACGTTGCCTTAGAACATATACAGACTATCCTTCAATGTACAGAATTAGAAACCCCTGCCCTGTGTTTTCTGTTCAAGACATTCCTTGGTTCCTTAAAGTTCCTTGGCTTGTAGATGGTCCTCACGTGTGCTTCTGCATCTGTTCTGATCTTCTTATAACTCAGAAGTGACTAGGTTTAAGATCTACCCTATATTGGTATGAACTCATTAACACAGCAAAAGAAAAGCCCTATTTCCCCCCTAACAGAACCCAGATTTGGGGATCCTAGTGCCAATCTGGGAGTAAATCTTGAATTATCTAAACCAGTCATGGTACTTGAGTTCCTCCTGCCAGAAATTGGCTCAGGGTGGCCGTGATGCAAATTCTGGCTGATAAGGGAGGAGGGGAAGTCTAGGGAAAATCATGATCATCTCTAGGCATTGTTGGCTGAAGACGAAGAGCTGGAGACTGAGGCTACCGGGGCGGGCAGGGTCCTTGAGGACAAGTGGGCAATGCTGAGCAGGGCAGGGCTGAAAGATGGAAAGAACCCAGGTCCTTGACAACGTCCTTGGGACCTTTCAGCCCATGAGTTTGTACATGATCCTATCATTGAACCATTTGCATTGAGTTTGCTGTGACTTGCAGCTGAACACATTCCAACTGACACTAAGTATCCAACCATGTGTAGGTGCATATGTACCTGTAGGTGCTCTGCAAACTGGGCTGGGGTGACAAGGGGCACAAGCAAGGGTCCAGGGTTCTTCTAGACTCTGGCAGACATCGGGTTCCAGTAGTTCTTGGGGAGCCGCTTCTGAGCATATTCTACCTTCTCACCTGTGTGCCCAGTTAACCCTCAGACTAAGGCCACCTGCTCCCTTTGTCCTGTGGTCCCCCAGGGGCTCTCGAAGAAGCTGTTGGATCAATGTTATGGATTGAATTGTATCCCCCCAAAAATGTGTCAGCTTGGCTAGGCCATGATTCCCAGTATTGTGTGATTGTCCACCATTTTGTCATCTGATGTGATCTTCCCATGTGTTGTAAATCCTACCGCCATAATGTTAATAAGCAGGATTAAAGGCAGTTTTGTTAATGAGGCAGGACTCAATCTACAAGGTTAGGTTGTGTCTTGAGTCAATGTCTTTTGAGATATAAAAGAGAGAAGCAAGCAGAGAGACAGGGGGACCTCATACCACCAAGAAACAAGAGCCAGGAGAATGGCGCATCCTTTGCACCCGGGGTCCCTGCACTGAGAAACTCCTCGATCCGGGAAAGATTGATGACAAGGACCTTCAGAGTTGACAGAAAGAGAAAGCCTTCCCCTGGAGCCGGCACACTGAATTTGGACTTCTAGCCTCCTAAACTGTGAGAGAGTAAATTTCTCTTTGTTAAAGCCATCCACTTGTAGTATTTCCATTATAACAGCACTAGATGCCCGAGACACCCAACAAATAACTCAGCCAGGAGTGGGGAGCAAGGAGTGATTTATTCTCACAGCTGAGCAAAGGATGAGGTCCACAGCCTTGGTAGCAGCAGAGGCCGTCTCCTCCCAGGCCCAGCATCCCCTTCTAAGTGTGACAGCCGCAGGCGGGCCGGGTGGGGAGCGGGGGTAGCGGCCAGGGCAGCAGCCCTTCCACCGCGGGATCCGGCTGGCCCAGCAGCAGCAGTGGGCAACAGCAGCAGCAGCAGGTTATGGAGTGGGTGGGGAGTGTTAGCCCAGCTGGCTGACACCCATCCCCCCATGGATGGTATGTGGCGAGGGCTGCGGGGAAGGGGGGGTCTGGACTGGGAGGTGGGCAGCTGGGGCGGCTCAGTCGGCTGTGAAGATGCGGCTGGAAATGTCCTCCAGGAGCCAGTCGATGCCGAGCAGCAGGTTCTCCCCGGTGACGGCGCTGCAGCCCTGGATGCACCAGTGGTGGCTGCGAATGGAGTCCAGCTCCAGGGCCTGCGAGGGCAGAGGGGGCGGGGAGGGCCGGTGACCACAGGCCCCGCCTGCCTGCAGCCCCGGGGATATCCGTGTCTCCCTCAAAGCCCTGCTCAAGGAAGCCTCCCCTGGCCCCCCTGGGATGCCTGGGCTCTGTGTCTGCCACCACGCCAGCATTGCCCCTTAGTAATGGAACAGCAACGCGGGCTCCTGAGCATCCACTAGGGTCCAGGCACTACGCTGGGACCCTATAAACGTCCTCTCATCCAGTCCTCCCAAGGTCCCATGAGACAGAGATCCTGTCGGCCATTTTATGCAGGAGGAAACCAAGGCTCAGAGAGGTTAAGCAACCTGTCTAAAGTTACACAGCTAGTCAGTGGCAGAACCAAGATTCTAATCCCACTCTGTCATTCTGGAGTTCAAGAGCTAGAATAACAGTTAAGATGCAGGCTCTGGGGCCAGATAAGTCTGGGCTTAAATCCTGGCTTGTCTACTTACTAGCTATGTGGCCTCGGACAAGTTACCTAACCTCTCTGAGCCTGTTCCCCAACTATAAAATGATAATAGTTCCTTCCTCATGAGGCTGTTGTGAGGATTAAATGAGTTAATACCTGCAAAGAGCCCAGCGCAGAGGGAACACTGAGTACACGTTTGCTACTGTTACCTTTGGAATCACTGACTTGCAGGTCTGCCTCCCCGGGCTGGGGCACCATTGCTGCTGTGTGCTGCTGAGTCAATTTCAACTCATAGTGATCCTATATGACAGAGTAGAACTGCCCCATAGGGTTTCCTCGGCTGTAATCTTTATGGGAGCAGCTTGCCAGACCTTTTCTCCCGAGAAGCTGCTGGTGGGTTCAAACCACCAACCTTTTGGTTAGCAGTTGAGCATTTTAGGGGCACCACTAGGCCTTATTAAGCACTGAATCTCCAGTGTCCCCACAGCAGGAGGCTAATGAACGCTTTTAAAATAAATTAATGAGGAAATGCATGCCCCTTTTCCCCAAGGCCTCAACTCACCTCCCGGATGGCGTTAGAGGACAGTGCCCCAGGCAAGTCCTGCTTGTTGGCAAAGATGAGGAGGGTCGCTCCAGCCAGGCGCTGGGGGAGAAGATAGAGGGATGCAGTTGTGGGGGGAGGTTCAGAGGCATCACAGCCCCACTCCAGGTAGCCTGGCCCTTCTCTAATCGTCCAATCTGGGGTCAGAGATCAATCTGGAAGATCAGGGCGAGGCCCGTTGGTGGTGGGAGAGGCCACTGAGGCCAGCCCCACATGGGGTGGAGGGAGGCCTGGGCTGGGCAGGGGTCTGGTTCCAGTTCAACCACCACCCAGTGGGCACCTCACCCCTCTGTGCCTCAGTTTCTTCTCCCATAAATGGGGAAGGGTGCTGGACAAGACAATCCCTCTGTGGTTCTAGGCCGCTTGGGTCTGATGAGATGACCTGGACAGGGAATGTGACCGTCCCAGGGCCCAAGGGCCTTCCCCTCACCCAAGGTTCCGCAGCCCTTTAACAGGATCGCTCCCGACAGGCCTCACTCTCTGTGCCTGACTCTAGTTACTTCCACATGTGCAGGTGACTGGGTTCCCTCCACGGTGACCTAACCACAAAGAGCTCCAGTGTGCCAGGCCTAGCTGAGCATTTTCAGCCATGCTCTCATCTGACCAGCTCAACGCCCCAGGAGGGGCTATGTTCTACAGGGGACCGCATGTCCCTGTGTGCCGGGGACAGTCCTGTTCACGCCTGTTGTCCCTGCATAAGTAAATATTTAAAAAAATTATAACTCCCCACTCCCCCTTCCCCCCAGTCCATGGTAACCACGAATCCACTTTTGTCTCAATCTGTGTAATTATTAACAACGCCCTCTCCCTCTTTCACTCTAGGGTCCTGGTTTGCAACTAAATACAACATAGTAGCCTGGATCAGGCGTCCTCAGTGGCACAACTGGTTAAGCGCTTATTGGTGGGTCAAACACACTCAGAGAAGAAAGTCCTGGTGATTTGCTTCCAAAAGGCCACAGCCTTGAAAACTGTATGGAGCAGTTCTACTCTGCACATTTGGGGTTGTCATGAGTTGGAATCGACTCCATGGCAACTGGTTTTGTTTTGTTTAGCCTGGATCAAATTATAAATTTCCACTAATAACATTAGATATTAACCTTGGTATAATACTATTAGCTAAATATATTATAGACTTTGGATTTCTCCGGTCTTTGCATGAGTATCATTCGTGGAAAACTGGAGAAATCCAAACAGAGTCTGTAGTTTAGCCAATAGTGTCGCTGTTGTTGTTAGGCGCCATCAAGGTTAATTTCTTAGTTTTGACGAATATACCGTTAACATTAGGGAAGATGGGTGAAGGGTGTGTGGGAACTCTGTACTATCTTTGCAATGTTCTGAGAATCTAAGATTTTATTTTTTAAAAAAGTGCTCTACTTTGGACGAGTTATATGGTTGCCCAAGTTACAATCCCCATTTTAGAGAGGAGGAAGTAGAGGCTCAGAGAGGTTAAGTGTCTTGCCTGAGGTCACACAGCAAAGAATCTGATTCCTGAGCCAGGCTCTGCCGCCTCCCAGAGCTCCACGCACTGGCTGTGAGTTATCCGATGATGTGGCTGTCATTTCAAGGTGTGGAAACCGAAGCTCAGGGTGGTGAAGCGGTGACAGTGCAGGGCTGTGACCCCAGGTCCCAGTCCACAGTATGTGCCCTGCCCATGGCACTGTGGGCCTCCCTGGACTGGGTGAAAGGTCTGTCTCTGCCTCTATGAGGGTGCTTGGTGAAGAACTGGATCACGGCCCTAAATGTCCCTCTGGGGTCCTGGAGCCCCCGGACATCTGGTGGAAGCCCCCCGCCCAGCTAGGCCCCTGCCCACCTCCTCCACCAGCAGGCTCTGGAGCTCGCGCTGGCAGTCCTGCATGCGCTGCCGGTCGGCGCTGTCCACCACCCAGATGAGGCCGTCAGTGCTCTCAAAGTAGTTCCGCCAGTAGGACCGCAGGGACTTCTGGCCGCCCACATCCCAGATGTTCAGCTTGAATCTGGGCAGGGGAGGGGGCGGCTGGAGGGTCAGCCCAGCCCCTCTCCCACCCTCCCTGCCCAGCTCCGGCCCGGCCCACCCGCCAGGATCCTGCTCACCCACGGTGCTCTAGGGTCTTGATGTTGAAGCCCAGCGTTGGGGAGATGGTGTCGATGTCTTCCCCATTGAACTTCTTCAGGATGGTTGTTTTGCCGGCGTTGTCCAGGCCGCTGGGGCACGCTGGGTTAAGGACAAATGCTTGCGCTCTGCGGGTTGCTAGCACTCTCACTCACCACAAGTCAAAGTCAGTTACGCACATGCCTGGCCTACTGTTGGCCCACGATAAATATGCGGGATCAAGAAATAAACATCATCTCCACCTGACCAATGAGGCGGGCGTCATCATCCCTTAACTCATTCCACAAATGCTCACTGAATACCTACTACAGGCCAGGCCGCCTTTTGGGCGCCGGGCGCACCCCAGGGAAGAGCATAAAGTTCCTGTCCTCGGGCAGCTTACACTCGAGCAAGGAGACAGTCGATAAAGCGCAAACCAACAAGAAACTTAAGATGCTGGTGAGCTTCAGAAATCCAATGATGAGGCTCTGAGAGGGTCACCCGAGGGGATTCCTGTAGCTCCGGCCCCAGGGACAGCCTCTGTGAGAAGGCGAATTGAGGTGAGGCCCGAACTACAAGGAGCCAGTTTTCTGAAGGACTGGGGAGCAGCATTCTAGGCAGAGCGAATAATTGGGAGCAGCTACCCTTGCTTCTTTGCTTCTGGAATATGTCAAACCTTTCACCGCTGAGTGAGTGTGCAAAGGAACGGTGAGCTCGCCAGTGGGAGAGAACGACCCTCCTCTTTCCTTCCAATACTTAAGGGGTCTTGCAGCTCCGTGTGTCTATGTCTGTGTGTGTGTGTATCTGTGTGTCTGTGTCTGTCTCTGCGTGAGGGGAGGGACCCAGGCCCTGGGCTCAGCCTCTTATTGTTCACTTGACGTGGGACAAGTGACTCAAGCCATGAAATGGGGTGACGAGAGGACCGCCCCTGAGACCCAGCCACAGCCCCTGATAACTGGCAGCTGATATTTCTCCCCCCTCTCCCTGCATCATCCATGATTCCTTCTCCAGGGGATCATTCCCATCAGCTGACAAACTCTCTGTTGTTACCCCCCCTCCCCCCACTTAGAAAAAGCAAACAAAACCTTCTCTTGTTCCCTCTCCTTCCTCTAGCTACTTGTTACTTCCTTCCCCTTACGGCAAAGCTCCTCAAAACACTGTCTCCATCACCTTCTCCAATCTCTGCCCTCTTGTTCTTTCTAAAACCTACTTCGATCAGACTTTTTTGCTCCCTCTGCTTCTCTAAAATTGCTCTTGCCACGGTCAGTCCCCGGAGACCTCCATTGTGCTCTCCAATGGCTGCTCGGTGTTCGGCCCGTCTTCCAGCTCTACCAGCAGCACCTGACAGAGCTGCCCATCTCTCATTCCCTGACCCTTGCTGCCCTCAGCTCTGGGACATGCCCTCGCTGGGGTCTCCTCCTACCTCCTGGCCGCTCCTCCTCACTGCCCTGACCTCTTGATCCGAGTACACCTCACACTCCTCTCTGTCCACACTCACCCTCTAGGTGACCTCATCCAGGATCCTGGCTGCAAATACCATCTTTATGCTGTTGACTCCCAAACTGATGCCTCCCCCAAGCCACAACCTGGCCACCTGTCCCAATACCCAGCTGCCTCCCTGACATTCCTCAGATGTCTCAGAGGCATCTCACGTGGCCAAGTGGGCTCTCAGCTTCCACCTCTGTCCCAACCTGCTCTGCCCTGGTCTTCTCTGTCAACTCAGCAAGTGGCTCCTCATTGTTCTAATCACTCAGGCCAGAAACCCAGGAGTCAAGCTTGACTTTGCTTGCTCTCTCACACCCTTGGCCAATCCAGCAGCAATTCCTGCCAGCCCTCCCATCACCTTCCTACTTCCATCACCTCGCTGTTTCCATCCTGGTCCAAGCCACCATCCTATCTCGACTGCATTATTGAAATTGCCCTCCAACTGGTCTCCCCCCACTGCCATTAATCTATGTCGTCTAGTCACAACATAGAAGCCAAAATCAGACCACACTTCTCTATACAAGACCCTGCATGGGCTCTCTAAGGAAGACTCCCCTGGCACCTCTGATCTAATCTTCTAGTGCTCTCCTCCCTACTCACTCTCTCCAGTCACACTGTCCTTGAACGCACCAGCTGAGCTTCTTTTGGGCCCTTTGCACTTGCCCTAAGGGTCTTTGCCTTCAGCAGTCTTCTTCAGGTAACTACAGGGTTCACGTCTTACTCTACTCAACTGCCATCTCCATGCGGCTTTCTTGGCTCACTCTATTTTAACCACATTCTTCTCCACACATACTATATATTTTATGTGTTTTATCATCTTTCCCCGCTCGGCATTATATAACATCCACGAGCACAGGAACTTTGTTTTGCTGTTTTACCCTATCCCCCAGATCAATGCCTAGCACACAACAGACAATATTTCTTGAATGAGTGAATTCCCTGTGCCTTTCTCCAGGCTCTTTAAAACAGACACGACGGGCATATTTTTAAATTATCTGCGCACATACACGACTTCTCTCTTGGCCCAGCTAGTGGGTCTCAGATGCCCCACGTTGCCCGGCACAGAGTAAAACCCCCATTGTTGTCCAGTGGATTCCGACTCATAGTGACCCTATGGGACAGAGTAGAACTGCCCCATGGGGTTTCCCAAGGAGCGGCTGGTGGATTCGAACTGCCAGTCTTTTTGGTTAACAACCCAACTATTAACCACTGCGCCACACAGAGTCGGACGAACGAATGCAGGGACCCTAGGGCTACAAGTCCTCAGCTGCAGGGACACCGATGGGCCGCAGAGCGGCACAGACAAGGACAGCCCGGCCAGCAGGCTAAAGGCCCCGCCGAGCTGACGCTCGCCCCCACGGAAGCAGAGGGCGGGGCCGCGCCTCCTGGGATTCCGAACTTGAGGGCGGGGTCGGAGCCCGGCACCCTCGGACAGGGGGAAAGAGGTCAGAGCCGGGAGGCCGGCAGTCCTACGCTCGTGCCAGGCTGCCGAACGGTGACGTCCGAGTCACCTCCGGGCCCTGCCTCCCCGCTACATTTGGGACACCTGGTCCCTCCGCTGCGCCTTTAGGCCCACACCTCTGGCCTTTGGACTGGAGCCTCCCGTCGCCCCCGCCCCGAGCCGATGGTACGGCCTCCTCCCGGCCCCCCGCTGGCGCGATTGGTAGGGTCCACGTGCGTGACGCACAATGGGCAGTTGGTACGAGCCGGCCGGTCGCGCACCCCGCGCCCGGTAGGGGGCGCCTGGCACTGCCCCCCCTGGCGGAGACACCTCTACGCTTGCGGCTCCGGCGTCCGGGAGGATACAGCATGAGCAGTCGCAGCTCCCGCTCTTTCTCCTTCATCTTCTTCAGAATGGTCAGAAGCCCCATAGTCCCAGTAGCCCCCCTCCCTGTCGCCGTTTCTTCCTAGACCTGGGATCCCCGCTCCTTGCTCCTATTGGCTATCACGCACACCGACAGGCCAGCCCATTGGCCGGCTCCTTTTTTTGGTCCAGCCCCCGCCCCACGTGACCTCAGAGCTGTCCGACAGCCTCTCTGCGGTAGTCCCTCTAGCGGCGATGCGGCTTCTGCGCGGCCACCTGCCTTAACCCTTCGCGTCCCGAGAGCCTCCCGAGAGCCTAGAATTGGGGGCGAGGTCGAATCCATTCCGTCCTCCCAGGACCCAAAAACTCGACCGGGAACGGAAACCTGAAGTTTTTAGGTTGGATCTTGGCCGAGTAGGGAGTGCCGGCAAAGAGGTGTGGCCAGCTGGGGACCCTGGAGTCAGAACCGAGAGCCCCGTGACCTGGGGCCATCCTGGAGCCAGTGTAAGTCCCTGTTACCCGGAAACGTGGGCCAGCCAGATCCTGTTCCTCTTGGGCCTTGGCATCATCCTAAATTTGCTAGTGACGAAGCAGGAATTGGGCCTCCCCCTTGCCAGGCTCCTGAATGCCCCTTAGGGGCCGTTTCGAAATGTGCAGGGTAGGAGGTGGGGAGTTTTTGGGTTGACTCAATGACTGGAAGAAGAGTCCCCCACGTTTAGAGGATGAGAAACAGGGATAGTAGTGTTCTGCAATGCTTGGACAGACCCTCACAAGAATTGTCCCTCCCAAGATGCCCATAGTTTCCGTTTTAAGAAAAACAGTCTTCCATTTGCAGATGAGAAAAATAAGGCCCACAGTAACTGGCAAATAGTAGATGCTCAGTAAATATTTGATGTTGAATGAATGACTTTGTCCAACAGTTTGGTTCTTTACCTTAGTTTAGTACTCAAGAGATTCAGAAAAAGTGAGGAAACTGAGGCCAGGGACCAAGCAGATTGTAAACTCAGAAGGGTGAGCCTCTTGCCTTATTTTGAGCCCGTCCACAAGCTCACTACAGGGTAGATGTGGGTAGACAGCACAGAATAACTGTCATGGATTGAGTTGCATTCCCCAAAGGTATCTGTCAACTTGGCTAGGTCATGATTCCCAGTATTGTATGATTGTCTACCATTTTATCATCTGATGTGATTTCTCTCTGTGTTGTAAATTCTATCACTATAATGTAATAAGATGGATTAGCAACAGTTATACTGATGAGATCTACAAGATTAGTGTCTTAAGCCAATATCTTTTGAGATATAGAAGAGATAAGCCAGCAGAGACACAGGGGGACCTCATCCCACCAAGAAAGCAGCGCTGGGAGCAGAGCGCGTCCTTTGGACCTGAGGTTCTTGCACTGAGATGTTCCCAGAACAGGGGAAGACTGATGACAGGGACCTTCCTCCAGCGTCAGCAGAGAAGGGGGCCTTCCCCTGGAGCCAGCGCCCTGAATTCAGACTTCTAGCTTGCTGGACCGTGAGAGAATAAACTTCTCTTTGTTAAAGCCGTCTACTTGCGGTATTTCTGTTGTAGCAGCACCAGATGACTGAGAAAGTAACCAGCCAGTTGCCATGGAGTCGATTCTGATTCCTGGTGCCCCTTGTATGTCATAGTAGAACTGTGCTGTATAGGGTGTTCAATGGCTGATTTTTTGGAATAGATTGCCAGGCCTTTCTACTGAGGCACCTCTGGGTGGACTTGAACATTCAACGTTTCCATTAGCGGCTGAACGTTTTAATCGTTTGAACTATCCAGGAACTTCCAACAAATAGTTGTTGTTAGGTGCCCTTGAGTCATTTCTGACTCATAGAGACCCATACCCAACAGAATGAAGCACCACCCGGTCCTGCGCCATCCTCACAATCGTTGTTATGCTTGAGCCCATTGTTGCAGCCACTGTGTCAGTCCATCCCATTGAGGGTCTTCCTCTTTTTCAGTGACCCTCTACTTTACCAAGCGTGATGTCCTTCTCCAGGGACTGATCCCTCCTGATAACATGTCGAAAGTATGTGACACAAAGTCTCCCTATCCTTCCTTGTAAGGAGCATTCTGGCTGTACTTCTTCGAAGACAGATTTGTTCATTGTGTTGGCAGTCCATGGCATATTCAATATTCTTCGCCAACACCATAACTCAAACGCGTCAGTTCTTCTTCAGTCTTCCTTATTCATTGTCGAGCTTTTCGCATGCGTATGAGGTGATTGAAAACACCATGGCTTGGGTCAGGCACACTTTAGTCTTCAAGGGGACATTATTGCTTTTTAACACTTTGAAGAGCTGTCTTACAGCACATTTGCCCAATCCGGTGCATCCTTTGATTTCTTGACTGCTGCTTCTGTGGGTGTTGATTGTGGATCCAAGTAAAATGAAATCCTTGACAACTTCAGTCTTTTCTCCATCTGTCATGATGTTGCTTATTGGTCCAGTTGTGAGGATTTTTGTTTTCTTTATGTTGAGGTGTAGTCCATACTGAAGGCTGTAGTCTTTGATCTTCATCAGTAAGTGCTTCAAGTCCTCCTCACTTTCAGCAAGCAGAGTTGTGTCATCTGCATAATGCAAGTTGTTAATGAGTCTTCCTCCAGTCCTAATGCCCTAACCCTAACCCCCCTTTTTTTTTTCTAGACGGCGGTAGTCTTTCCCTGTTCTTCATATAGTCCAGCTTTTCAGAGTATTTGCTCAGCTTCTGCAGACTAAAATTGATTGAACATGCAGTCAAGGTGCATTGACAATTACTGGTGATTGGAATGTGAAAGTTGGAAACAAGAAGGATCGGTAGTTGGAAAATATGGCTTTGGTGATAGAAATGATGCTGGAGATCGTACGATAGAATTTTGCGAGACCAGTGACTTCTTCATTGTAAATACCTTTTTTCAACAACATAAATGGTGACTATATACGTGGACCTCACCAGATGGAAAACACAGGAATCAAATTGACTACTTCTGTGGAAGGAGATGATGGAAAAGCTCAATATCGTCTGTCAGAACAAGGCCAGGGGCTGATTGTGGAACAGACCATCAATTGCTGATATGCAGGTTCAAGTTGAAGCTGAAGAAAAAACAAGTCCATGAGAGCCAAAATATAACCTTGAGTATATCCCACCTGAATTTGGAGACCGTCTCAAGAATAGATTGGATTCATTGAACACTAATGACCGAAGACCAGACGAGTTGTGGAATGACATCCAAGGACATCATAGATAAAGAAAGCAAGAGGTCATTAAAAAGACAGGGAAGAAAGAAAAGACAAAAATGGATGTCAGAAGAGACCCTGAAAGTTGCTCTTGAAGGTCAAGTAGCTAAAGCGAAAGAAAGAAATGATGAAGGAAAAGAGCTGAACAGAAGATTTCAAAGGGCGGCTCCAGAAGACAAAGTAAGGACATTATCTTAGTTATCTAGTGCTGCTATAACATAAATACAACAAGTGGATGGATGCCTTCAACAAACAGAAGTTTATTCTCTCACAGTGTAGTAGGCTAGAAGTCCAAACTGAGGGCGTCAGCTCCAGGGGAAGGCTTTCTTTCTATGTTGGCTCTGAAAGAAGGTCCTTGTCATCAATCTTCCCCTGGACTAGGAGCTTCTCCGCCCAGGAACCTAGGGTCCAAAGGACGTGCTCTTCTCCTGGCACTACTTTCTTGGTGTTACAAGGTCCCCATGTCTCTCTGCTCAAGTCTGTCTTTTGTATCTCAAAAGAGATTGGCTTAAGACACAGCTAATCTTGTAGATTAAGTCCTGCCTCATCAACATAACTGCCACTAATCCTACCTCATTAACATCATAGAGAGAGAAGATTTACATAGGAAAAGCACATGAGATAACAAAATGGTTGACAGTCCCAAAATACTGGGAATCATGGCCCAGCCAAGTTGACAGATATTTTTGGGGGACACAAGTCAATCCATGACAGACATCATACATGAAGAAAGCAAAAGGTCGTTAAAAAGACAGGAAAGAAAGAAAAGACCAAAATAGATGTCAGAAGAGACTCTGAAACTTGCTCTTGGACATAGAATAACTAAAGGAAATGGAAGAAATGATGAAGTAAAAGAGATGAACAGAAGATTTCAAAGGGCAGCTTGAGAAGACAAAGTATTGTAATGACATGCAAAGACCTGGTGAAAGAAAACAAAAGGGAAGACATGCTCAGCCTTTCTCAAGCTGAAAGAACTGAAGAAAAAATTCAAGCCTCAAGTTGCAATTTTGAAGGATTTTATGGGCAAAATATTGAATGACACGGGAAGCATCAAAAGAAGATGGAAGGAATACAGAGTCACTGTACCAAAAAGAATTGGTCGACATTCAACCATTTCAGGAGGAAGTATATGATGAAGAACCAATGGTATTGAAGGAAGAAGTCCAAGCTGTTCTGAAGGCACTGGCAAAAAACAAGGCTCTGGGAATTGACAGAATACCAAATGGAAGCAGCACTGGAAGTGCTCACTCATCTATGCTGAGAAATTTGGAAGACAGCGACCTGGCCAACTGACTGGAAGAGAGCCATGTTTGTGCCCATTCCAAAGAAAGGTGATCCAACACGTTGTGGAAATTATCAAACAGTATCATTAATGGCACACACAAGTAAAATTTTGCTGAAGATCATTCAAAAGCGGTTGCAGCAGTATATCGACAGGGAACTGCCAGAAATTCAAGCTGGATTCAGAAGAGGACGTTGAACGAGAGATATCGTTGCTGATGTCAGATGGATCTTGGCTGGAAGCTGAGAATACCAGAAAGATGTTTACCTGTGTTTTATTGACTATGCAAAGGCATTCGACTGTGTGGATCATAACAAATTATGGGTAACATTGCAAAGAATGGGAATTCCAGAACACTTAATTGTGCTCAGGAGAAACCTCTACCTAGACAGTCATTCGAACAGAGCAAGGAGATCCTGCATGGTTTCAAATCAAGAAAGGTGCATCAGGGTTGCATCTTTTCACCATACTTATTCAGTCTGTATGCTGAGCAAATAATCTGAGAAACTGGACTAGATGAAGAAGAATGTGGCATCAGGATTGATGGAAGACTCATTAACAACCTGCGGTGTGCAGGTAACATGATCTTGCTTGCTGAAAGTGAAGAGGACTTGAAGCACTTACTGATGAAGATCAAAGACCA